TGGTAGAGAGATAGATAGAGATGGGTAGGCACAGAGGGGAGAAGGGGGATGGAAATAGATAGAGCTAGATAGAGAGAAATGTGGTAGAGAGATAGATAGAGATGGGTAGGCACAGAGGGGAGAAGGGGGATGGAAATAGATAGAGCTAGATAGAGAGAAATGTGGTAGAGAGATAGATAGAGATGGGTAGGCACAGAGGGGAGAAGGGGGATGGAAATAGATAGAGCTAGATAGAGAGAAATGTGGTAGAGAGATAGATAGAGATGGGTAGGCACAGAGGGGAGAAGGGGGATGGAAATAGATAGAGCTAGATAGAGAGAAATGTGGAGGAAAGATAGATAGAGATAGAGAAGGAGAGAGAATAGTAACAGGGTAGAGAGATTGGTAGAGATAGAGATGGAGAGAAGGTAAGAGAAAGAATAGATATAAATAGAGCTAGCTAGCGAGAGAAAGGGAGAGAAAACACAGATAGAGATAGAGAGTTGGGAAGAAGGGTGAGACGGAAGAGAAATGAATAAAGATAGAAAGGGGCGGTAGGAGAGAGCGAGAGAGGGATGGGGATAGAAAGGGAAGTGGAAGAAGTATATCTAGAGATAGAGAGGGAGACGGGAAGAGGTATAAATATAGTTAAATAGGGAAAGGGGGAGAAGGAGAGGCGAGATAGATGTAGATAGAAAGTTAGAGTGAAGGAGAAGAGTGAAGAGAAATAGAGAGGAGAATGAAAGAGAGATAATATACAGAGGAAAATATTTCATTTAAAACGATGTGATCCATGCGCTAACGCACGCAGAGTAGCTAGGTAAGAGATAATAGAGAAGAAGCGGAGCCGGTCAAAAAGGAAAGGGTGGGGAAAGTGAATGAATGGGGAGAGAGATAGGGGAGGGAGAGTGAAGGCAGAGGAAGCGCTATCAAATAGAAACGAGTCGCGCTTACAACGAAAGTCGAACAGCTCCATCCGCTCCTCCTGAAATGATTGTAAATAGTTTGTTTTTTTACGTAGAATGGCGACGTAGATTTAGAAATAGTTGTAGGTTTAACAAAGCAATATTGGGTACAGCAGTTAGCCGATAGAAGGAACGCTGTCGGGTGTAGGCTAAGATGCATAGCTGCTAGATCTGCCCACACGAGCGGGGATCGCGTCTCTGAAATAGCAACCCTCATTAGATAAAACGTGGAAAGAAAGAACGTATATTATCAGGGGTTAATAATGACAAATTGTCATTATTATGACCTTAGTTATGACCTTAGTTTATCATTATTAGCCCCCTGATATTTTTAAGGAAGCTAATATTACAGGTACAAACTTGATCGCGTGTGTTAGAAACATTGTCGGTTGGCACTAGAAGGATACCTGCTATAAAGCTTTCCCTGGTGGCACCTAACAGTATTTTTGCGTCCATCATTCGATGGGACTATCCGAAGGGTATGTCATTGCGAAAAATTGTGGAAGATTTTGAGGAAATGTAATAATAACATTTCGCAGCTACTCAGACAAAATTTTAACGATGTGGTTTGTGTAACAAAATTGTGTTTATGTTGCACGGTCGTAGAAAGCAGTAATGGCGACAGTCTCAGGCGACATTCGAGTAAATTACTTGGTCCACACACGACGATCTATTTATAGTTCAGGCCAGTACATCCATACAGTTCAGTAGTCAGTCCATAATCGCAATAATTGCGATTATCGTTAACAATATCGTACCTATAGCAAAATCGTCTTTGTATTATACTAGTTCCGTGCGTGAGGTTTGCTTCATACTACTCTATCGACAGGTAGGTTGCAGCAGCAGTTTCGGTGTAGTATTTACGTAGTGTACATCGACTAGTTTATCTGCCAAGCGGTGGAGTCATCGTTTAAACTTAAACGGAAGCTGACGGTATTTTGATGTTCCTTTAGCAAAGCTTAAAACTGAAATCAATCTGGATGCACATAAGATGGCAATTTTCTGACAGAAATATGTACATATTGTACACATGCTGATCACATCGTATATGTTGCTGATGCTATGGATTTTGTTGTAAAGCACACGGCAGTAGAAGGAACATCTGGGATCCAAACTACGATTATATACATAGATTAATATATTTTTATATTAAGGATAGAAAATTCGCTTTGTTAGCTGTCTTCTCCTATAACGATTAACAGATTAAGTGTAAGGATGTGAAGACGAGGGAGGACGAGTGTGCGGGCGTGAAGACGGGGGAGGGTGATTGTGAGTGAGTGTGTATGGACGAGGGACGGTGCGTGTGCAGACGTGAGGACTAGGAACGGACGACTAGAGATAATGACGTAAATGCAAGCGAACACGTACACACTGAGCGAAAGTACTCGCTGAAGATTAAAAGGGAAATATGATTTTAGGGAATGCGCATGAATCGCATGGTCGCGTTAATAAATATATCTTTCCACGTGATGATCGTCATTACTATCATTGAATTTCTTAGAAAGAATTGGTGTAAATCTCATTTAAAAGTTGAATCGATCGAAGAATTGTCTTATTA